TTAAAATTGTTTTTAATTTTTTGTTTAATTTTTTAGTTTTTAAAAATTGTGTTGTATTTATTTGAAAATAATTTTTTTATTAAAGTGACCATATGATGGTGGCGAACCAGACCACCGAACCGTCGTCTATTTTATAAAAAAGTAAAAGAGTGCTCTCTAAATCTGAATATGTGAAATTTCACTTATTGTACGTTATAAGTCGTCCTCTCGATCAATAAGTGCATATACACTTATAAATAAGTGAATTTTTCACTTATTCTGAGTGAAATTTCACTTATTATAAGTGTATATGCACTTATTGATCGAGAAGACGACTTATAACGTACAAATATGTGAATTTTCACATATTCAGATTTAGAGAGTGTTTTTCTTTCACCTTTTATACGTCTTCCAAAAATCGAAAAAATTAATTTATTAAATAGTTGTGGAAGAATTTACAAAATATTGAATTACTTTTAAAAGTTTTTAAGAAAGTTCTTTAAAAATTTTCAAATTCATTTGTTTACAATTTATTTTAACGAAAATCCATCGATTATTCATAAATTCTTCAATTAAATAAATATTAGAAAATAAAAACTTCAAGTAATTTCGAAAAAAAAAATTGATTCTATTGTCAATTAAAAGTATGATAAATTCTAAGATTTTAATTTTACACCTTTTCAAAATTGAATTCTGAAAAAAAATTTATCAAAATTTTAAAAAATAATTGAATATTCTCGACGAATTTTAATAACATTTTTAAGAATAATTGCATTTAATAGTTACATTTTTCGATGTGTTTATTTCAAATTGAATTAATTTTTGAAAATAATTGGATTTTAAAGAAGAATTTTATTTCTTTTGGCAATAATTTAAATTTTAACGAGAATTTAAAAAAATTGTTAATATAAAAAAAAAATAACACAGTTATAAGTTTAGTTAGTTAGTTTTTGAATAACACAGTTTTCCTGCAGATATCAAATTTTGAACACAATATATTAAAAATAAAATTAAAAAACGAGCCAACGAAAATTAATGATAGTTCCTAAATAGCTACTTAATTTTAAAATTCACAGAACATGACAAGTTATTATTTTTAGAACAATTCTTAATGATATATCTGAAATTTTAATCATAGAACTTTGAAAAGGAAACTTTCGACTTCGATATTAGTTTCGAGAAATTTAATGTTTGCGATGTGAAGTACATAATTTACGCATAATGGAGTTGAAAAGTTTCTTATATGACAATTAATTCATTCTCTAGGAATATTAAAATAACAGTCTAGTTCGTTATTTGGAACAATTTGTACTTAAAAAATATTCAATAAAAAGAAGAACTTAGTTTAAGTAATGAACTTAATGTCTTTCTTTCTTTTTGAATATAAAAAATATTTCTTGTTGTGATAAGATAATTATTAGAAACGATCAGAAAAGTAATTAAAAGTTATCCCTTTATACAAGGTTTGATTCCATCATGCATGGCTATATTGTTTTGCTTTTGAAACAAAGCCTTATCCATTGCAGTGGAAATGCACTGTTGAATCTATAGTTTCTAGAATTACGTAAAAGGGTTCATTTTTTTATGTCGATATTCTTTTTCAATAATTTTTTTTATATTTGTTTCTCCTCTGGAAAAAACTTTGATATTTACTTCGATATAAAGAACTATAAACTTGTGCAACAAAAATACATTTTCTAAAATGAAATGTTTTGAAATTTTTAAAATTATTTTTAGCTTAACTGATTTTAATGATTTGCATTAAAGTTAAGATTTGAAAACTATGATAAACTCTTAGTTTATTCATATATTTGTCCTGCAACTTAAAGTTTTGCTTTTCAGCTCTGTTCTAATTTCGTCTTATCTTTGAAAATTTGTGTTTGTAACAATAATATTGCTTTTCTGGGGAAATTCTCTGATAAATGTAATTTCAGACTGTTCTTATTTTTGTTACACGAGGACTGTTATCACTCTAAAAACTAGTTTAATAATTCTATTGTACAAAGATATATTTTTTCACTGCAACTCGTTTTCATAGTTATTTATTTTCTGTTGAATTTTGAATGTAATGGATATTTTCCTCTTTGTTTTGACAAAAGAAAACCATTATTTCTTTGACAGATGATAAAAATGTAAGATTAATGTTCTTAACTTTAATTACAATGGTTGGAAAATAAATTCGTAACTAGAACGTAACGTCCCCTTTATTGAAAGGAAAAAAGAGTGGTATGAAGGGTGAAACTCGATGGTTTTGAAGGAGATGATCAACAAATGTTTTTTTTTCTTAGGTGAGGGTTGAATTCAGATCCCATTTCTCTAACTCGGAAGTAGATATTCGATTAAGTTGTTTGGGCCTTTTCACAATGAACTGCGTAAAATGGTGGACAGGGGCGGGTCGGTTGCAGGGGTTGCGCGCGCCTCCGCAGATCAATATTTCATTTTCAACCTTGCCAACTCCCGTTTATTCTCAAAACTGTTCTTTCTTGCAATTGTAAATCCTTTTAATTACACCTCACTCTTTTCTCCTTTACCCCATAATTCTCACACATAACTCATTAGCTCTCTTTCCCATAGGATCAATTAGTCCCTCTGCCTAGACGCATTAATGCCATACATTTCTTTCCGCAATCCATATAATCCGTACCTTTGCGAAATTCCCCATTTTCTCTCAAAATAACAAAAATCAATTCTTTCGTTAAATAATTTCATGATTTGAATCCATTAATCATTATATCTCGTGTACTAAAATTTGATATAATTCGTGAAAATGAGAAATTCAATCCGTTTGTTCGGTGAAATAGGTCGCTGCGATAAGTTATAGATACAGCACATTATTATTGAAATTTGTTTTCGAAAATAGGAAAGAATAAATAATTGTTATTATTGACCCCCTTCGTGTATACACTATCCCCATTGCTATTCATCATCGCTCTTTGAATGGGAGGGAGTTTGATTTACCCTTGGCATCCTTTTCAAGTCGCTGAAGATGGGATGCTATTTTTGCGAATACTTTTTTCCGCTCTTGAAACCGTCATCTCCTAACATGATACTACTAAACTGTTGAAGGGTTTGTTGAGAGTACTTAACACCTAAGTACTTCCACTTTGAAAGCTCATGTGCATATTGAAATTAAGCTTCTTAAATATATTGAAATCTACCCTTATTTACTGAAATATAATATACTTATATTCCAACCGTGGGCAAAGTATTTAACGCGTAAATACGCACTTAGAATTACTTGACGATTAACAAGAAAATAAACATATTTAAACCTCCTGTAAAAAAAGTGAACAATTTGAACCGATTTTGGTTCCATTTCAATACCTAACATCAGTTCTAATTTAGCGCAATGTTTTTTATTATCAAGAACGCATCTTTGTCTTCCGCAAAATAGTTACACTTGTTATATTAAATAGAAGAAATGTGAAGCGATGTCCTTTTTATAATTGCTGCATAAATTTTCCTCGAAATGAAACGTATGACGTTTGAAATTCGGCTAATTTGCATGTGCTCCACTTGGCTTTAAATTAATTCTAATTAATGAATTCGAATTTTCAAACAGTTTGCATAAACAAAATATAGAAACCAATAGAAGTCAGTGTGATTATTTGAAATTCGGATGCGAAACTATTTTATTAGTAAACGCATTAAACAAACTCTTTATTTTCAACAAGTTTGAATTTATTTTCTATAGGGTAATCATAATTCCCAAAGAGATGTTACAGCACCTGGAGTATATTTTTCTTCTATGTAATATAATACCAGAGCTTCATTATATTAAATCAGAATTTAATATTCTAAAGAGTAGTTTAATGATAATTTTTTATAGTACATAACTGAAGGGGAAGATGTTCGGTTCCTTTGATGGGGAGGTTCCTTGATGAGAGGTTATTAGGTTTTCTTGCAAGTATTTGTTCTTAATGCAATTTAGAATCTGTTCGAAATAATTACTAAATAATTACTATTACTTTCCTACACTGCTGTAATATTGGATATCCATAAAAATGTTTATTAAATATGAAGAAATAAAATTAATTGTTACAGTTTAACAATTTTTGTACTTCAGAATAAAGTGGGTATGATTTTCAATAGATTTAATCGCAAACAGTTGTAATTGACAATTTTGGGAATGATTTATATTTTCTAATTTATGAATTCTTTGCTATTATCGACTTTCTCATTATTCCATCTCATTAGGTATGGTTCGAATGATTAATAACCTGATAGATTTTTACAGAACCGAAAATTATCGATTTTTAAGAGATTATATTAAGTTATCAATTATATTTCTGATGTGAAAATTGAAATTCGGTTATTTCGAATGTTAGAAGAGAAAAGTACGATAAGCTCAAGAACAATATCGCAGTGATGGCATAAAATTGCATAAGCTGTATTGAATGTAAAAAGACGAGGAAGGGTCAATATCTTTTTTGGCCCCGTAATGTCTTTGGACTTTGAATGAAGTCATGAATCGGAGATGTTGATTAAATCTGAAGTTTATCCGCTTCTCTTGCGGTACGTGATCGAAGTCTTGGAATGTCAGAGATTTCGTTCACCTTTTTTTTACGTATATATAGACATAGTTTGAACGATTAAGAGGAGCAGTAATGCAGGATAAAATTGTGGCGCGACATAAATTGGTCACGATTTTCCATAACGAGGATCCAAGAGGCAGAAGCCTCAACCTCCTCTTGATGAGGGAGTTAATTTTCACACGAAGCAGCGAGGTGGAGTGACGCGATGATCAAGAGAGAGAAAGAGAGAGAGAGAAGGAGAGAGAAGATGTTGTAACGGAAAAAAAAAGAAGAGACAGAAGAAGGTTAGTCGCCACGACACGGCATGTCGTGTCCCGGCCCCGGGACGTCCGTGTGCTGCTGCCCCACCCAAGTTCGTCGGCGGCCATGCCGGGTACCGATCAATACTTCGGCTACGAGACGAGTAACAACGATTACCAACGAGACATGACGAGAAAGGCCGAACCCTAGCACGAGGTGAACCGAGTCCTCATCAGATACAGCGTTGCCGGCTCAGTCGTTGTGCGGGAGTGGTCACTGAGGGATGTGTGTTGTTGTAATTGAGTGACTGAAAACCGGCGTAGTTTTTCGCATACAGTTCGTTCACTGTTCTCCACCCTCCCTTCAATTAAATACAGACTGAAACTAGTCAGTTTTATCAATAAAAGAACGTTAATACGCGCGTGAATTCGAGTTCGATCGCGTGTATTTATTTAAGTATTTATTGTACAAAAGACTCTTTTAACATAGGTAGGTGAAATTCATTGACGCCTTCGCCTTGGTATTTGACCCCTCCATCCGCTTTCAACTGTACCAATGTTCCTCTACAGTTTCCTTTCAGGTCATTTTTCTACCTGCTTTGTGCTATTCTTTCAACCGAATTGACCTGAGTTTTCTCCTTTCCCAAATTCCCTTCTGCCCTGTGGAACTACGAAGTGGCCCTTTATTGATCTCTGCGGTACTTCTGCGTCGCAAAAAGACCGGATCTGCATTGACGTGGCGCTTCTTGGTAACATTTTCAATGATTAGTCAATGGTAAAGAATGCATTTAAGTATCTTTGGAATTTCTCCGAACTGACTTCTGTCTGCATGTATAGATTCGACCATTGGAAAAAGTGAATAGTGATAAAGTACTGCGGCTTTTGGCCATAACCTCAAAGGACGAGTCGACTTGGCGACCTACGCGACGCCTCGTTATCTTCAATGAAAGCTTCCTCATCTCGCTTTTTAATTTATCTATCTCGGTAACCCCTTCTCAAGAATCCAACATATATGATCATTATGCAAAGCCTCTGACAACCTGTCTTTTCACATTGCTCATAGTCTCGAGGATTAACAAGCACTGTGACAAAACATTTTCATTCTCGATTCCTGTTATCTAACATGCCTTCTTCATCTCTTCAGTGATAAAAAAAAGTGTTGGGTTTTTTTTAAATATTTCTAAATTTACAAAAATGCTTAATACTTTTTTTCGAAAATTGTGACGTGAAAGAGGGACATGTGCCTTGCTCCGAACGGACAGTAGGCATTGGAAGAATTTTGGAATAGGCTACTCTTTATGGATTAGCCTCTCTCTTTCTCACTCTTTCTTTCAGAGTGAATAGTCCATGACCGTGTGCGTAAAGCGCAGCTGCAGATGATCGTAATTCATTACCCACCATTTGCAAATTGTCGGAAATTGGGCAGTACGGCTCTTAACGACTATTAAAGCTCCGACTGGAAGCTCAAATACTAAATGCCTTAATAACTATGTTTCCTGAAAGAGGATATACACCAGTGATCGGATTTTACTTTTCCCACAATATTCTCAGTAGTCAGCATTGAGAAGGTCATCGCATTATTCGCATGCATACACCAGGAAATATTTTTGCATTCTGAGTCTCTTACTTGAAATTTGGTTTCTGGATATTTGTCACTCCGGGACATTTAAAATTTTCACATTTATTTTCTGTCCCACCTTAGCTATTAATATCTATACTGTCATTATTGCTATCACCACGATATTACACTACTATTAATACTTTATCACTGTATGAACTATCATACATTATACCATTACTATTATCTGTACAATACTGCTATCTCTACTAGTATTATTATCAGTAATCTGTGCTATCTTCACTATAAGTTAAAATATCTCAATCGCCATTAACTCGCTGATAGAAATATGCTTTTCGAATCTACTTTTCCAAGGAAAAAAGAAACTAGTTTTTAACAGTAACCAAAAATGAGTCATTTAAAAGCATATATGCCATAGAATTTGTAAAATATTTTATTTCTACAGTACATGCTTCTTGAACTATGTAATAGCTTTCATGCTTCCGACGGAAATGTTGAATCATTCCTTTTAGTGTATAAAATTCGTGAATCAGAAAGTCTAAATTATGCTGCAGAATTTGTAAACTATGCACATTCTGTATCATTTTGTCAGATTATATTTGTGACAAAATTGTAACTTTATAAACATAATTGACAAACATTTTTCAATTGCTCATAATATTCTTGGTGTAGAAATGCAAAAACTAACATTTTTACTACTAACAATTAGTATTGGCACTGTTTTTACATAGTATCATCAGCAGTATTTTTACCTCTAGTGACAATAATCGTCACTATCAAGGATCTTTCGTAGAATCATTACTTAAACTATCATACACTATTATTATTATTATTATTATTATTATTATTATTATTATTATTATTATTATTACTATTTTTACTATTACCATTATTATTAATTCATGGACCAAATAAAAAGTAATTTAATAAAAAACTTTTAAATTCACTGCTCCTCAATATTTAAAAAAATGATATAAAAATTCAGCACCGGCAGGAACCGGATTTCAAGGACCCGACAGGTGCACATCTGAATGAAATGCATTCACTTCTATATCTTGATGTATTCAATTATATTTTTCGTTGGCCAAATGCTGAATTCAAAAAAATGGAGAGAGGGAAAAAATGGTTTCGAGTCATCTCCAAATTTAAGGTCCTCTTCTCTCTATTCTTAGGTCTGACATTTTTCTTCTCTAATTTTAGAGTCATCGTCGTAAAATATCTAAAAAGTCTCATCTCATTCAAATAGAACAATTTGATTTAAATTATTATACTTTTCAGGGTAGTAGATTATTTTGCTTAAAAAACGAATCCGTAACGGAAATCCGGTTTTGCTTTTTGGAAATGAATTCATAAAGATGAATTTTTAACTTTGGAAAGTATCTTCTTTTTCTTTTTTTCTTTGTGTATGTCGACGATAGGTTTAAAATAAACTTTTTAGTTTTTGGTGGGTCGTATATCTGTCTCGTAATTTACATTTTAGCTGTCTCGTTAAATACATCATTCTTGAAATACACCTCGAAACTGATCAATCTCAATTTTTTCGAATTGACGCAGTCTGTATTGAAAGAAAATTTTACTTATTAAAGAATAATTAATACGGATCAATATTATTTGAAATTTAAAAGATATGAATTTTTGGAATAATATCTTTGAGTAGAAAATCCAAATCTGTAATATCCTGTTAAGGAGGATGGTGACTGTCTTTTCGGGGCAGGCGGCGAGAGGGGAATTCACATGCTTTCATATGGGATTAAAACTGCAAATACCAACTGTTTTAATATATATTTTATAAGTGAAATATGCAATACTTAATATGTTAGACATAAAAAATAGTATTTTTAATAATTCCAATTCATTATTCTCAAAAAATATTTAAAAAAATAATTATTTACTTACGTAAAAAAAATTTCGTAAAAAAATAACACTGAATAAGATTTCATTCGTATATGATTACATTGCGACGTTGCCACCACGTTTCTGTGTATTATGTTAGAGAGGTTAGAAAATCTGTAATTTTACGTCAGTTTTAATGTTATTTCTAAAAATCGGGACAGTCGGTTTACTCAATTATTTTTTTAAATTATTCCAAAAGTATTAAACTTTAAAAGAGTATGATTTTTTAAAAAAGTTTAACTTTTTTACACAAGTTATTATCAAAATAGTGCACTTCACATAACACTCTCCATAAGAGCCCATATAAAAACATGCAATTTCAATAATTAAATTCTCAAAAACGGGACAGTAAAAAATTTTAAAAAAAAATTGTTCTATAATTTGGACATTCTTAACAACGAGTTTTTACAAATTTCAAAAAATTCTTAACATTTTTATTTGAGTCACCATCCTCCTTAAAGCTCGAGGTCTCGCTTTTGAATTATCGATCGTACTTTTGCCGAGCAGCTTTCTTGAGAACACGCAAAGATCCCATAAAACCCCGTACTTTCCACTAATACCAATAAAGTTACTGCACTTGGCATTCGAATAAACTGAACCTTTCAGTTGACTACTTGTTTCCAATAAATTGTCCATGTTTAGTGTAAATTGATTCAATAATTCCTCTACTTCAAGTGGACAATAATTTAACTAAATCTGAATTTACTTTTGGATTCACGTTTCGAAACGTTTAAAATGAAGAAAATTATTTGACAATAAAATATTTTCAAAAATTACGAATTGTTATAAAAACCAAAATTAAACTTTTATAATTTACAAGATTTTATTTAAAGTTGAGAAATTTTATTCATTTTAACGTTGAGGTCTTTAGGAACTGCACTTTTGATTATTCTTAGTAAAAATAAAGATAATAAATAACTTTCTAAAGTTTACATTAGGTGAAAAAAAACAACTAACCGGAGAATTTTAGAACTGCTTCTTTCAAAAAATAATTCTTCTTTGAATAGGAATTTTTCTGTGACAATATTGTGAATGCTGGTCATTCCTTTCGTTTGAACTGGCAACACTGTCACTACTATTGCTATTGGTCACAACTCAAAGCCAGGTGATCGCGTGTGATTAAATATAGGACATTGTATAGAGAATACTACGATTAATAATTCCACCCTCAAAAACTCCCATCATTCATCCTTTATGTCTGCTTAAAATCCCTCGCCTCGCTTTCTTCTTTTGTAACATTTATCTTTACACTCAAAATTAATTGCTTTACAATTTTTCCTTCTTATTTTATTTTTATATTAATAACAAATTTGTAAACCGAAAAAGTATATTTAATTGACTATATTTAACAAATAATTATTTGAAAGAATACAGCTTTTAAAAAAGTATTTGTACCATTTTTTAAAAATATAAATCATTAAATAATTTATTTATTTCATAACAAGTCATGTAATTAAATCTAGTCAAGTAGTAATTAGAATCAATTATTTTTAGTACAGTTTAAATTTATTTTCGTTTCATTGAATTTATAATTTTATAATAAAGGGGCCGTCCATAAACCACGTAGCCCCATTTTTTGGAAATTTTGTCCCCCCCCTCCCCCATGTAGTACGCTATTACATGTATTAGCGCCATTTTTTCCTCTTGTCATAGTCAATTGCTTGACCCCCCCCCTCCCCCTCAAGAGGCTACGTGGTTTATGGATGGCCCCAAAGAAATAAGAACTGAAATTCAGAAAAATGTTTTTAAAAATAGATAAAACAATTTTTAATAATATTAAAAGAAAGTTTAAAATTGAAACCTTTTTTTAAAACCAATTTTGTAAAAAAAGTTTTCTAAACTTTGTGGTATGGAATTTAATTTCCTTTAAGAGAGGCACTTAAAACTTGAATCGAGTGACACATCGCTAAATAATTTACACTATCATCAAAGTTGTTACTTTCACTTGAGAAAATGACGAACCGAGAAAAAGAATGTTAATAGAGGGGTTTTTTTTCAAAAGTCAGACAACACATAAG